GAAGACTTTTTGATAGCAAAAAATAAAAGTAGAAGGATTTTGTTCTTATGTTGATCCATCTGAGAAAGTTATGATTCAAAATACTCTTAGCATATGTAGGGGATAACTTCTTTTAATCCACTTACCATAATGAAAATTAAGGCTGTGAAACAATTACAGCAGTAACTGATTAAATTTATATATTATTGATTAGTGGAGGCTATTAGTAAACCTGGGAAGAAACAGTGGCTAAAGAAGAGAGTGTTTCTCCAAACATTCAGTGTAAGCACTGGGCAGGCCTTGGCTGGGCAAAATGGTTCCAGTCTTTTTCTGATTCTCTCTTTGGCATTTCCCCTCCTTGGACACTTCATTTAAGATTTACAATTCTGATTCCCCGAATCTTTGTACAATTTTATTTCCTTCTTGAGAGTAATAAAGGAAAAAGATGTATTTACTGAATTGACTTAAAACTTGTAACTCTCGAAAGGTAAAAATGTATCTTCTGCTGGCCCGGTGGCACACGCCTGTAATTCCAGTGGCTCAGGAGGCTGAGGCAGGAAGATCAAGCAAAAGCGAGGTGCTAAGCAACTCAGTGAGACCCTGTCTCTAAATAAAATACAAAATAGGGCTGGGGATGTGGCTCAGTGGTCATGTGCCCCTGGAGTTCAATCCCTGGAACGAACAAACAAATAAACAAACAAAAACCCAAAATAAAAGAATCTTCTGTCAGTGGTGCTTTTTTAGAAATATCAATCACTTCTTCCCCCCAAAAAGTGGGTGGATCTGAGCGATGCATCTGGAGACATTGTGTATCTAATGTTTCTAATTTCAGGTAAAACTACTGGGACATGGAAAGCAGCTTAACTGGATTTCTTCAAAGCCAGATGGCATTATGGTAGAACTGCCACAGCTAAGCTTTCCTCAGATGCCCTGCAATTGGGGCTGGGCTCTTGCTCTAACTAACGTGACCTAATGTGCAGCAGAGAGACCCATGCTGCAGTTAGCTCTAACACTAGGAAATGATAGGTGTCTGTGATTATACTATGTGGAGAAAGCAAATATAAAATTTTATCCCATCTGATTCAAATGTATGATATGTCAAGGTCATTGTACTGTCATGTGTAACTAATTAAAACAAATTAAAAAATCAAATAATTAGAAAACACAGCTCTATGTTCCCTTTTCTCCCTGTTGCCTAAATTACTCATGGTATCATTTTAACTTTCACTGCACTTTACCATTTAAGTTTTTCCTCTTCACATTGAATTCACTTCCATGTGTGTCAGAGGTAGAATTATTTTTTGTTTTTAGTTTTGCTAGGAATTAGTGGTGCTATGGATTAAATTGAGTGTGTCCCCCCCCCACCCCACCATTCTTATGTTGAAGGTTCTAACCCCCGATGTGACTATATTTGGAAATAGAGATTTATAAAGAGATAATTAAGATTAAATGAGGTCATAAGGGCAGGGCCCTAATTCAATAGGACTGGTGTCCTTATAAGGGAAAGTGGTACCAGATGTAAGAGCACAGAAGAAAGCTATGTAGAAACATAGCAAGAAGGTCACCATCTGCAAGCCCAGACAGAAGCATCAAACCAACCAAATCTGCCAATATCTTGATGTTGGACTTCCAGCCTCCAGAACTGAGAAAATAAATTTCTGTTGTTTGAGCCATCTAGGTAATTGTGTGTGTGTGTGTGTGTGTGTGTGTCTTGTTCTGTTACAGCAACCCTAGCATACAATACAGGTATTTAATAAATTTGGCCCAATGTGTATTTCCAATGTATCCAGTAATAGTCTTTTCCCCTCTTAGTTATAAAACTGATACATGTTTATTATAGATATTTTAAAACAAATTCTCCAAGATGAAATTGCTACTCAGATTGGCACTACTAATATTTTAGAACACAGTCTTCCAATTGTTTTCCCCCTGCAGAAGGAGAGGTTAGAAAGAGGTATGAGATTTGAGGTGTGGGCCTATTTTTGAAGATGGGTTAATCTGAAGGCTAACTTAAATTCATAAATTTGTTTACTTCAAGCAAATTGAAGTTGAAAACCTATTTGAAAATTAGGAAATCTATTCAGATCTTCTCTTATAAGGAGACAAAAATAATTATGATTTTTCAAATGTAAGTTTAATGAAAATTGATTAAGGAGCTCATTCCCCTCAACAAAAGATGTTTTATATGGCCATATCTTTATTTGAAATGCTATAGATTCCACTTTGTTACAAGCAAATGTAGAAATGTGTTTCAAAAAAGTCCTTCAAATAGTGAGATTAAACATTATTTTTATTTCCTAAAATCATGCCAAGGTTGAAAACTTTATTTTTAAAATTACTCATTGTTGAGGTTCTTGAAACTGATCACTATTTTTTCTTGTTGAGACAGGGTCTCACTATATTGCCCAGGCTGACCTCAAACTTCAGGGCTCAAGTGACATTCTTGCCTCTACCTCTCAAGTAGCTGGGATTCAGCTGCAATTATTAAATATTTGAAGCTATGCCAAAGAATTTATGTGGATAAATATTTCAGTAGTTCCTAAATCCCAATTAACCTTTTATTAGAGATCCACTCTATGTAGATTTTCAAGATTCCAAACACTATATGAAGAAAAACAACACAAAAAAAGGAAAAAGAAACCAACAAATAAACTAATACATAAAGGAAAATGACAAAACAAAATCCAACCAAATGGTATTAACGGTAATCTTAAGGCAAAAGTAGGGTTAGCTGTTTGAAGAAATTATTCTTGAGCCCAAAACTTGTGAATTGCTTAAATTCGTACCTTGCTTTTATGGTTTAGATGTGGTGTCTCCCAAAAGCTAACTCGAGAGAGAGACAATACAAGAAGGATTGGAGGAGAAATGATTGGGTCATATCCTCAACCTATCAGCAAATTAATCCATGATGGGATTACTGGTAACTAGAGGCAGGTGGGGTGTGACTGGAGGAGGGAATTGGGGGTGTGACTTTGGGGTATATATTTGTATCTGGCAAGTGAAGACTGCTTTCTGATCACCATGTGAACTGCTTCCCTGTGCCATACTCCTCCACCATGATGTTCAGCCTCACCTCGAGCCCCACAGAATGGAATCGGCTTTCTATGACTGAGACCTCTGAAACTGTGAGCCCCCAAATAAACTTTCTCCCTCTACAATTGTGCCGGTTGAGCCTTTTAGTCACAACAGTGAAAACGTTGACTAAAACACCTGCCCATCTTGACCTCTTAAAATTAAGAATGAAGTTATGCTAAAAATGGAAATACTTCATGAAATCATAGTTAGAGACAGGGTTTAGTAAATGAGTAGCTATGAGGGAGCTATATGAAAAAAATTCAGTATTCAGAAGTACTGATGTTTTGCCAATAACCAGACTATATATAAAAAAGTATAGATCCTAAATTTAGATTTATTTAAAGTATATTTTGTTTATATGTGAAATGTACTACCACTGGGTAAATTACAACTGTAAAGACAACATTTCCAAGTGAGCTAATACTCAGAGTTTCCAGGTGAATAATTTGGGGGGAACACTATTATACTATTATAACAAGGATTTGAAACACTCCAAATTCTTAAAATGATCTGAGGCATGGAAGGCAAGGATTGAGGATGGTTAGAAATCAGACCTTTCACTACCTATCTAACCCAATAGTTTTTTATCCTCTCACTAATTAATCCTTTTCCTAGAGTTGCTCATAGGCACAAATTTGCCTTACTTGAATTTCGGTAATTTCTGATTTACTTTTAATGACTATATATTAAAGGCAGAGTAAACCAAACTATATATTAAAGGCAAAGTTTTAGATTGAATAATATAGATATTGATGTCTGTTTTGCCATTTAAACTATATATTAAAGGCAAAGTTTTAGATTGAATAATATAGATATTGATGTTTGTTTTGCCATTTTAAAAATGAATATCAATTTAATAAGATTTATCTCATTTTCTTCTGAGTGCCATATTGAAGAATGTAATTGCTCTTAGAGGTCAGACTACAAATAAATATGAATTATAACAAACCTTCATTTCATTTTGATTAAGTGAAAAACTTGGTTAGATAAGAATCTTCTTAATTTCCAGATAAAATAAATGCCCATATAAAACTTTTATACATATATAATAACAAGCATATTTATGCAAGTTTGAAAGTATAAAAGTAGAGACAGTTTAAAGTCATCTCCATTTAATCATCAGATTAACTGATACTGTCCATTTCCTTGTAAAAAATAGATTGATGCCCAGGACAAGCTTTAGGCTTTTATTTGGTAAGCTCATCCATTTCCAGTTGCTAAAATATGTATAAACCAAAAGTTAGTTGAGTATGTGACTATCATAAGTTGAATAGTGTTCTCAATAATTATGAACATGATCTCACTTGGAAATGGTGCTTTTACAGATGTAATTAAGGATTGAGACAAGCACATAGTGGATGTGGGTAGGTCCTAAATACAATGCCAGTATCCTTAAAAGAGACTTTAGAAAAGGACACAGAGATACATAAAGCCTTGTGAAGATAAAGCAGAGATTTAGGGTTATGCTACTACATAAATCAAGGAATGCTTGGTGCCACCAGAGGCTGGAAGAGGCAAGGAAAGACTAGAAGGATCTTCCCTAGAGCCTGCAGTGGAAGTGCAGCCTTGCTGATACCTTGATTTTGAATTTCTAACCATATCTGTTGTCTTGAGCTTTCTGGTTAATAGTAATTTTTTTATAGCAGCCCTGAGAAACTAATATGGTTGCCAAATAGATTATGCAAGTTGACATTTTATTTTTATGATTATATTGATGAATGTTGAAGAGTTATAGTTTCTGGGAAAGCCAAGTTTAATACTTCAGAAAGAACAGATAAAATATTGCCCAAGTGTTAAAAATGCTATTGGTTAAGTGTAGGCAAAACAGTACTAACAAACTGGAGAGAACTACAATAAAAATGTACAAAAATTCTGCCCCTCTGGTTCACAGCCATGCAATGAAATCCATGTGATTTGTGTGGGAAAGACAATTATAGAACACTTACAGTGGACCTCCACTGGAAGGCAGTTCTGCTAATCACTCCACCACCAGTGTTCCAGCTCAGCGGCACATACTGAAGTTAGAAAAGGCCCGGGTCCTATGAAAAATCACTGGCAAATAAAGAATATTTATATTATAAGTTAAAATGTCTAAAATATGTGTATATGATAATCTGTTTCAAATAACTTTTTAGATTAAGCATACTAAGTGTCTGACAAAGCAACTCTAGTATTACTAGAAAGTAAACTAGTAATGCCTAACACAAATAATTTTAAATACATATGGTTTTACCTTGCTCTCTTTCCAGCAGCCACAACTGTACAGATGCAGATGATTCCAAGTAATAATTTTCAATTGATCAAATGTGTTCTTATAAAACCACCCCTGTTTATTCTCAAATTTTCTCTGATGAAATCCTGGGTAAATATTGCTGGAAGACATGCATGCCCATTATATATGTTCCCTAACCTTCCAAAATGCAATTTTTCCTTCACCCAATTAGGAATGATAACAATATATTCTGTCAAACTTTGAAAGCATTCCCTCTTCTCGATTATACCTGTTTTCATTTTTTAAAACATTCTAGACATATACACTTTAGCAGTAGGCTCTGGGCCTAGCTCAGAAAAGACTTCACAATTCATTTTCTGCCTTTTACTATTTAGCTATGTTATGTTAGAGAGACATAAATGATGTTTGAAAATTATCTATTACTGAAAATATATCTAATACACTAATGATACATAATGATTAATTTATTTCTGCCATAATTCCCCTTCTATATTCAGAACTATAAAGTTACTAGAGACAATGCATTCATTTATTTTTCAGAAAGTAATGCTATTTATTTTTTTTCTAAACAAGTTAAAGCAACTATATTAGCAGTTAAAATGAAACCTAAAACTTGTTCTTCCAAAATAACAGTAAAAGCACTATGGGACAAATAATGGCAGTAAAATATTAACTCAACAAATCTATGTTGTATTAAAATAGTTTATTGCAATAAGATTCATTGTACTCAAAATCATTACAAAGTAAGTTATTAAAATTATTTACATACAAATTAATAAAATTATGCAGTTAATAATAGCTGTGAGTAAAACAGCATTAACACAATTTGAGCCTATAAATCAATATGTAACTTTCTAAGAAAGTTAGAAACTATTGCAAAGAAATAGCAAAGAAAAAAAAGCTCATCTTAATTGTTAAAATTCACTGATTTCCTTAAGAAAAAAAAACCCTCCAGAATATATGAAACAAATAATTTATTCCTTTGAAGGGTAACTGGAGAAAAGTCCAATTTACTCCTGGTTACTGCAGAGTCCAAGAATTTTATGATTAGTTAAACAGCACATTTTCCAAACTTCATACATTTTTAGGCTTATTTCCTGAACAGATTTTTCCTCAGTATTAATGCCAAAATACACAGCACTTCATAGTTTATACAAAAGTAATTACCTTAGTTTTAGTCAGTTTGGATCAAATATCCCTGATGTAATAAACTATGAACAATTCTTTTATCTGCATTGTGTGTACATTTAGATATACCTGCAAAAATTGGTCTGTTGATGAATTTAAAAAAATATATTAAGATGCCAAATAAATCTATTTCATTATGAAATGAAGACTTTGATTAAGAATATATTTTTATTAGGCATTTTTGTAACAAATTGTCACTCTATGTGTAGTTGATTTATTCATGTATTTTTAAAAGTAACTGAATCCCACTGTAGTTTTTCTTGAAGGAAAAGTCATTTCTCCAATTGCTGAGGGGTACTAAAAGCTTCGTACACATTAGCAGCAAAGTCTTTCACTTGTTCCATCATCAACAGATCCTAGCAAAGAGGACAATATAACATTACAATTTGTAAAAAGTATAGGTAATTTTTAATTCATTTCTGCAATAAAACAATGAATTTGTCTCTAAGTGTTGTGGTAGTTAAACCCAAGAAATATACCATTAAGGAAAGGAATATTTTTTCTTATAATAAATCCTAGGACATATTTATTGTTTGAGTTATTATATGAAAGATGGCGTACAAGTATTCAAGTATTATTTAGCAAAAGAAAGTCCCAAATAGTCTTTACATAAATTTAAATGTATATTCATATAAATTTAAATGTATGTTAATTTAAATGAATAAATGATACAATAATAAAGTTACAAGACTGAAGTTACTGTTTGCTGTTTGTTTGCTGGAAGCTGACATAACATGGTTGAGGCATATTTCTAGAAGATCTAACACACACTACGTGTATATTTAGTAGGCTCATATATTTAAAAAAATATTTTTTTCAGTTGTAGATGGACACAGTTTGATTTATTTATGTGGTGCTGAGGATCAAACCCAGTGCCTCACATGCCAGGCGAGAGCTCTACCACTGAGCCACAACTCCAACCTCATAGCAGGCTCATATTTTATATACACACACATACAAACCAACTATATACACGTTAGAGCAAAGGTTCTTAACCCCAGGGGTTTGTGAATATAAAGATAAGGAAAAAAATTACCTTTATATATATATATATATATTAACCTTTAACTCTAAAATCCAAAATTTCCTTCAAATATGAACACAGGCCTCAAAACACAACAATATTAAACAGGATATATAAATTTGTCATCAATAAAAATCACAGACATTTTTATATTTTACTTATGTTACTAGACTTCCCCATCTTGACATTTAATTTATTTAATGCTTTATTTAGCAGCAATACTGCTACAAAATGTTTGATTTTAAGAGGTATTTTGAAAACTGTATATAATTAGTTCACCCTTAAAAAAATTTGCATGAAAGTTTTTTAAAAAGCAGTTTTGCTGCCTTCATTTGTAGATGTGATTCTAAAAAGGGGTGCATGACAGAGGCTTAAAGCCTCTGAAAGTGTCAAAGACATAGGAAGTGAACCTGGCCTTTGTGGTCTCTCTTGAGTACTAGAAAACCTAAGTGCACTTAGTGCAAGTGCTGATCTCAATCAGTTCATGGTTAAATTCTCCCACCAAAGAACTCAATGTATTCAGTTTCAACTATGTTCAATGAAACAGTTTTAGATCAATGTTTTTTTCAACCAGGATTTATAGACATGCTTTCAGGGCCCAAGAATTTGAGAGGAAATTTTGAGTTTTAATTTCTATGAACTCTAAAAGAAAATTCACAAATTAGATCATTTGAAAGATAAATGTATAACCTAGAATTTAGGGCTTTTGTATTTATACTTACATTCTTATTGGCTCCAAGTAGTAGTATTTTGAGTCTTATGAATTAATTAAAAGTACAGAGGTAATGAAAAAAGAACAGAGATAGAAATTCTTTTAATGAAGCCCAAATCATATACTAGTAGCTCATAGGATATAAATCAAGGTTTCAGAATAGTTAAAGTAGACAAAAAAAGAGTGGCCAGCAAGTTAGGTGTAGAAGAAGCAGGTTGAATGCCCACAAACATGAATGGTAACAGATAAGTCCATGTTCACTTTGGAACAACCAATTAGTAGCCATCAGCTATGTTTAGTAAGGTGTGCTTTTTGTAGTTCAGATCTAATCTAATGGAAAAAAAAAAACTGGGCTTTTGGTTTTTAAGTTATGAAAAGGTCTAAGCTTAAGGAGTTTTATAGTTTTTTTTTTTTTTTTACTTACATATTAAAACAATTTCAACACTGGTGGACTGATTGGTTGGCCAGATTTGACTCAAAGTTTATAGATGGCTGACCCAAGCTCTACCCTACAGGGTTGGTTCAGACTGTTATGGTTTGGATATGAGGTATCCCCCAAAGACTCATTGTGAGACAATGCAATAAGGTTCAGAGGAGAAATGATTGGGTTATGAGACCCTTAACCCAATCAGTGAATTAATCCCCTGATAGGATTAACTGGTGGTTGAAGGAAGGGAGGGTGTGGCTGGAGGAGGTGGGTCATCAGGAACATTTATTTGAGGTATATATTTTGTATCTGGCAAGTGGAGTGTCTCTCTTTGCTCCCTGATTACAAATGTTCTTTTCTTACGTTATTTGGAAGCAATCTGAAATAATTTGTCTCATTATGTTATTTGAAATAGCATTGAAAAAACTAGCTTTCTCAATTGTTTTCCAATTTTGTCCAATTTCCTACCTTTCCCAGCTATACTACCATCCTAATATCTTTTACCACAAGGGTCAACAAAGTATGGCCTACAGGTCATGACTTCACATGACAGATTATCAAAAGGTAGGTGCAATAAAAATATTGTTTAAAATTATCTTCAGGCTATAAGATGTATTGAAACATAAATGAATTTTGTGCTTAGACTTGGGTCTAATCCTTAGGATATCTCATTTTGTATATGCAAATATTCCAAAATCCAAAAAAATATCCAAAATCCAAAATACTCACTCTGATCCCAAGCATTTCAGATAAGAAATGATCTGTGTCTGGCCTTCATGGAGTTTGCCAACCCTGGTCCTACAGCATTCCCACAAGAGTATCTCCTATACATCTTTGTGACTGAATTACTAGCAGTAATTTGGAAGGATTAATTTCAAGTATCTTAGCATTCCAATCAAGGCAAATGCTTTATGGAAGATAAATAAAAATAAAAGAGCTTAAAACATTATTTTTGGTTAAGAAGATCACTTGGTATTTTAACTCAGAGAAATTTAAAAAACAAGATAGAAGCCTTTTAAATCAATGATCTAATATATAAACAGAATCAACATCCAGTCACACTGAAAAATGATAGTAAATGCTAATATTAATCTTATTAGATTAGAACCCTTTGTTTTCATTATATTAATTATGCAGAATTAATTTATTTTTTGGTTCCAGGGATTGAATGCAGGGGTTCTTAACCACTGAGCCACATCCCCTGCCTTTCCTTATATTTTTGTTTTGAGACAGGGTCTCACTAAGTTGCTTAGGGCCTCACTAAGCTGCTGAAGCTGACTTTGAACTTGTGATCCTCTTGCCTCAGCCTCCCGAGCTGCTGGGATTTCAGGCTGCACCACTGCACCTGGCTAATTATACAGAATTAAAATGTACTACATAAAATTACTTAGGTATTAAGGCTGATGAGAATGTTTATACTTGGTTGTATTTCCCACTTATTGATCAAAATG